TTTCCTGGGGATTGCATTGCAATATCTCAACGGGGACCTGGAAGTGACATCATAACGTCACTTGCGGGTCAGCACAAGAAGGGGAGGGGAGTGGATTTGTCCGCTCTTCTCCCTCTCCTCTAGCCGACGGCAAGCCGGGCCTGCAGATGGGCAAGCGGAGCCTGGGAGACCTCACGCTGGGGGCAGAGAGGCTGGCACTGACAGGTGAGCCCTGCTGCTTTCCTGTAACAGGGCTAAAGGTAGAAAGAAACTACCTGCCCAGCGCCTGGAACTACATGTCTCGGGCAATAGGAATCCAACATCCCTGATTTGTATTGCCCTGGCATTTTAGCACCTCAAGAAATTAGAAAGTAAAAGCTGCGTAAATTCCAGCATATATACCATAGTTTGCAGGCTGTAACATTCGCATAAACCAATTGATATTCATGTATTGGGATTTTTTTTTTTACCAAAGACGTAGTAGAATACATTTTGGCCTAAATTTATGACTAAGTTTAATTTTATTGGATATTTATTATAACCGAAAGTAGAAAATATCTTTTTTTTTTTTTTTTTTTTTTCTTCACAATTTTCGGTCTTTTTTTTGTTTTATATCACAAGATAAAAAACCCAGTGGTGATAAAATACCAGATTGCTCTATTTGTGTAAAAAAAGGACATACATCTCATTTGATGACAGCGCCATTACCAGTTGAAATAGCACAGTGCTGAATAGCAAAAGATGGCCTGGTCAGGAAGGTGGGTAAATCTTCCGGCAGGCAAGTGAATAAATAAAAACAGCGTGAGCTCTTCCCATAACCCTGGTCCTCTTTGTTGCAACAAGAAGGCCCCCAAATACATAGTACCCCTACTCATTCGCCATTCAAAATGGCCAAGGGAAATAAAAAAACCCAGAGCCAGTTTTTGACCCCCGATGTAAATCCAGCCACCATCACAATGAATGCCGGGCTCTGGGTATTTATTATATTTTTTTTTTTTTTTTCATGATCCCCCTAGGGCTACGTACCCCTGTACTCATTCACATGGGGGGCAGGATCTCAGTGCACCCTTATTGAAGGGGTTTTCCAAGTTCCGATAGGTGAACCCCACAACCACCGGGCCAGGATCCTGTTTGTTTGTTTTTTGTTTTTTTTTTGTTCAGCCCACTGGTTGGGAAAAAAAATACTTGTGTATGGCCAGCCTAAGCATATGCTGTTGAGAAGCAAGCCAAAGTTCATTTTAAGATAGCCTTTCTAGACCTAAATGGCTCTAAAGTCTAAATGTTTTTTTCCTTAATGCAGAGCTTGACAAATTTGCTTTGAATCTAAGAGCCAGCTAAAAAAGTTAGGAGCCAGTTTTGTTTTGTTTTTTTGTTTGTTTTTTTGACGAACGGCTTTATTTTTGATAACGGAGATTGCAGATCTTGAATTTGCGCATGGAGGGGAATGGAGCCAAGGTTTTTTGGGGCTGAAGTGTGTGTGTGTTGTGTGTGTGTGTGTGTGAAATGCTGTGTGGGCTGGACTCTGCTCGTCTCCAGCGCAACATGTGGGGACTGGTGATGAGGAAGGGTAGGCCACAGTTGCACGGATTGGCTGGTGTCAAGGGAGAGGGAAGTGTCGGGGGAGCCTTTCTGCATGGTAACAGTGGGTCTGCTGGTGGAGGGGGCAGAGGGTGCATGGGGGTGCCGGTGTGTGGAGAGCAAGAGAAACTGTGGCTCTGCTGCTGCTGCATGTCTGGGGCGTGGGGAAATGGGAGTTGCCTGCGCCTGGTGCTTGAGAGGCTGCAAGGTGGTGGAACATGGTTTCTGGTTGCCATGGCGACCTTGAATTTGTCAAGCCCTGCCCCCCCCCCCCCCCCCCCTCCTATATATCCTGGTCTCCCCTCTATACATTCTTCCCCCCCCCCCCTGGATTTAGTCCCCCCCCCCCTATATACACACTTGTCCTGTCCTCCCCCTCTATATATGCCCTGGGTTTGGTCCTCCTCCCTGTATACACCCCAGGTCTAGTTAACCCCCTCCCCCCACCGTGTGTATACATTCTCTCTCTCTCTCTCTCTCTCTCTCTCTCTCTCTCTCTCTCTCTCTTCACATACCAGGCGAACATACAGCCCAGCCAGCTCCATTCTCTACCAGAACACCTCCACTGCATGAAGCTTCTGCAGGGAGTACTACTACCAATCATGCTAAAAAAGGATTGTGAAAAGGGATTCACAGAAAAGCGGCTACATTATGAACAGAATGTGATACTCAGAAAAATTTCCAAAAATTATGCTTTATTACACATACAAATTTGACATATGGGCAATCGCCCTGGTTTACCATCACCTCAGTATGAGACAATACACACAGACCTAAAAACCATATAAAATGACGCCAAGACCGGTCTGAATATATGTGCAACAAAGACTATGACTACTAGAGTCTAAAGTCTTTGTAGCACTGGCGCATAGGTGAACACTTCCCAAAGGAGGTGTATAAAGAAATTATACCATAGATATCCCATATAGCATATTAAAAATGTGTAGACTATGCTACTCCCATAATGGTTATATCCCAAACAAGGGATTTCAAAAAATTATACTATGGATATAGATATCACATGTATGCAATACAGCAAGCACAGTATGCGTCAAACAAGAAAGGCATGCCTCTAGGCCTATATGAAACTAAACATGAATATCATATATATATGATGCAGTACATTCCTATGCCGGCACAAGTGGTTGGGGCCCATTCATCTGTGATATAAATAGCTGTTTCCTAGGGCTTTTAAATGAGAATATGCCCCATTAATTACCAGGATGGAAGAGTAGATGCAAAGAGCAGCGCACTGCTTGAAATGGTTTCTTCACCACAACATGTGGACTATACACCACTTTCTATAAGAGAGAAAACAAGACAAATCCCAATTGATCTTCTGCCTGTTGAAATATACGTGGTATATCTTGTTTCCTATGCAAAGCACCATAGTGTCCCCATCCTGTAATGAAAGAAACAATATGTGGAAAGTCACTAAAGGAGCTTTCACTCCATATAGGATGTATAGGTCATATAGTTCACATAGGACCATGTATCTAGTGTCCTGTGACGATCCACTCACCACCTGTGCAATGGATGATAGGAAAGGAACAGATGTCCTTCATAGGTACTGCCATACAAGGCCAGGGAGGCCAGGGAACTACCGCTGACATCAGCCGATATACCGCGGGTTCCGGCCTCTTCTTGGCGCCTGTGCTGCTTAAGCTTGCCTCATGGCATGTAAAGATGGCTTCCTCCTTGTAGGTCAGCGTGCGTTCCACCTAATGCGCATGACCGGAAGTGACGTATTTGACGTATGACGTCAACGCGTTTCGCCGATGGGCGTATCTCACTCAGCTTAGTCAGGACCAATGAGACAACTGCATATCAAATACCTATTTATAGTGGGTTAAGACCCCACCCATTTATGCAAAAACTAACCTGCAGTTATTCCCAATGGAAGAAAACAAGGGGGCTAAATACTTAGCACAGCTGCTGGTCATTATACTACCAGTACTACCAGTCAGCCCGCTCCTATTAGGTGGCGGTCACACGGGGCGACACACAGGCCGCTGGGTCCCCACCGCCCGCTCCTTCAGGTGGGGGTCATATGAGGCGGCACACAGGCCGCCGGGTCCCCACCTCACCCCCTGCCGACCCCTTTGCCTACCGCACCATGTGCTCACCAGATCAGTTCCGGAGGGAAGAACGAGGCCAGCTTGGCGACGATGTGCCTCGGGTACGGCAGGCAGCAGGAAAGCCAACAGAGCTGGCTCATCTTCGGACGCTGCTTGGGCATTTGGGGGAGGGGATAGCGGCCTCGTGAGGAGAGAAGCCCGGCGGTGAGTGGGCTGATCGGTGCCCAGGCACCAGGTCCTGCTTTCTGGTTGCAATGGGGACCTGGCGCCTGGAATTGTCGAGCCCTGCCTTAATGCATTCTATGCATTAAGGTAAAAAAAAAACACCCCACTAACTGACCCCCCCATCATCCCTAAGCGTTCAGCTGTCTCTTCTCACCAATCCAACACTGACATGGCTGCAGCTCTGCTCTCACACTCTTCATAGGAAACACTGAGAGCAGTAAGAGCCATAGGCTCTTGCTACTGTCAGTCAAATCCTGTGAGGTGGGAGCAGGGGCATGGCCAAGCCATGTTGTGTGTGTCTATGAATCTGTCTATTTACTAAAGTTACCAGAGATGTTTTGTAGAAGTAAACAGGCCACGATGCAACCAACAAAATCACTTCTTCAGTTAGTGAAGAAGCCATGGATTAAAGTAAAATATATATCATTGATCAGCTAGCAGTGGTTACAGTGATAAGTCTGAGGTGTTATATATAATTTTTTATAATAACTCTTTCTCCCAGTGTTGTGAAGTATTTAACTGTTTAAATGTAAATACAGTAATAATCAGGAAAAAAAGATAAATATTGTTAGTGGATTTGGGAAATTTGTGAACAGAGAACAGGTCTTCAAAACCCCTAAGAATCATATTAATCCACGGGGTGATATAACTGCCAGTATTGGGTGTGCCTAGTGCAGTAATGCTTCATTTTGTTCTGTATGTTGGCCTTAATTCACACTGAGATAGGACAGATTTATTCTAGAATTCATATTATTGACATTGGGGTTGACTTAATAAAAGTGAAGAATGCAAAATCTGGTGCAGGTCTGCATAGAAATCAATCAGCTGCTAACTTCAGCTTGTTCAATTAAGCTTTGACAATATAACATGGAAGCTGATTGGTTTCTATGCATAGCTGTACCATATTTTGCACACTCTAGTTTTTGTAAATCAGCCCCATTATCTTGAGGGTGGAGACAAAGCATGACAGTGCTAGGGTTGAAGAGCTGCACTGGCTGCTAGGCTAATTAGACTCCTTATTGTTTCTTATGTGGTATATGGGCATTCTTTGCAATTATTATTCCATACAGTTTGAGAAAACAGAGCTATTGGCATCACTTGCACAGTTATTAATGTCTAATTCTCTAATTCTCTCCATAGCAATGGGATCTTCAAAGAAGCATAAGGAGAAGGAAAAAAGATCGAGATGTCTCCTTTGCTGGAGGAAGTGGAGAAGATCGTCACAGGGAGCACAAGAAGCACAAACATAAAGAACGTGAGCGAGAAAGACGAAAGAGGTCCCGGGAGAGAGACAGACCTAGGGATAGGGATGGAAGGTCCCGTACTTCCAAGGATACAGATTCTCGAAAAATAAAGAAGGAAAAGATGGACCCTACTTATGACCAGGGTGAGTGTAATTGATGTTTTCTTGTAGATTGACCACTTACATGCTAACAGTGTTTATACATTAAAGAAGTATTTTAAATTCTGTAATGAAATGATATCTGTTTACATATCTAGATGAAATCATTTTATATCTTAAATTCTCTATGTCAACAAATGTTGATTCTGCCAGCTTTAGATAAGGATGGAACAGCAATGTAATACCTGTTGCATAATTGAAGTTCTGTATATTGGTGATATGCAATTAATATATCGTTGATCATCTTGGAAGATGGAATGCCCACGACTGTATATATGGGGGCATGGTAAACAGTATACCTAGATGCCCATGACCATTGCTGGGTGTTCAAGGTTGGGTCATTGATATTGGACCAGAGTTAAGAAGAGGCTTAAAGTGAAACTTTACTCTTCCATTTGCAGAGAACAGTGCTATCTTAGACTCTATATCTGCAATTGCAGTGATGCTGCACACCTGATCAGCTGTAACAACAGCCATTTTAGAGTTTGAAAGATTTGTTGAGAATGGACATAAGAGGGACAACTGACAGTTATCACCAGAAGTAAACCTTGAATGTAGTGTATACTGCACATGTGTTAGTAGGCAGAGTGTAAATGAAAAACAAAACTGAATACAATTCAGAACCAACTCTTGAGGGAGTCTATTCCCACACCAACCCCAACTCACCAAACCACCCCAAACACCAACACTAAACACACCCACCTCACCCACCACCCCCCCCAACCCACAACCATTTCACAGCTCTTACTGTGAAGAAATCTCCTCTCCCCCACCCCCCTCTCATCTCTCTCTCTCCCCCCCCTCTCCCATCCCCCCACCCCTCTCTCTCCCCCCTCTCTCTCTCCCCCCCCCTCTCTCTCACCCCCCCCCTCCCCTCTCTCTCCCCCCCCCCCCTCCCCCCTCTCCCCCCCCCTCTTCTCTCCCCCCCCTCCCCCCTCTCCCCCCCCCCCTCTCTCTCTCCCCCCCCTCGTCTCCCCTCCGCCCGCCCCCCTCCTCCCTCCCCCACCTCTCTCCCCCCCCCTCTCTCCCCCCCTCTCCTCCCCCCTCCTCCCCCCCCCCTCCCTCTCTCCCCCTACCCCCCCCCCCCCTCTCTCTCTCCCTCCCACAGTCATGTTGGAAAAAGAAGGGGCCATCCCACAAAGTTGGGAGCATGAAATTGTCCAAAATGTCTTGGTATGCTGATGCCTTAAAGAGTTCCCTTCACTGGAACTAAGGAGCCAAGCCCAATCCTTGAAAAACAGCCCCAAACCATAATCCCCCCTCCACCAAACTTTAGACTTGGCACAATGCAGTCAGGCAGGTACCGTTCTGGCAATAGCCAAACCCAGACATGTCCATCAGATTGCCAGACAGAGAAGCGTGATTCTTGATTTGGTTCATATAGTGAACTCGGTGAGTTATTCACCCTGAGGTCATCACAGAGGACAAGGGGGCACTCTTTATGTCTGGAGGAAAAGAGATTTAATCTCCAAATATGGAAAGGTTTCTTCACAGTAAGAGCTGTGAAAATGCGGAATAGACTCCCTCAAGAGTTTGTTCTGGCCAGCTCAGTAGATTGCTTTAAAAAAGGCCTGGATTCTTTCCTAAATGCACATAATATAACTGGTTACTAACATTTATAAGTAAAGTTGATCCAGAGAATATCCAATTTCCTCTTGGGGGATCAGGGAGGACTTTTTTTCTCTGCAGGAACAAATTGGATAATGCTTTGCTTGTGTTTGTGTTTTTGTTTTTTTGCTTTCCTTTGGATCAAATGTGCTATATAGGATTATCACTTTTTTTTTTTTTTTTTTATGTTTGAACCAGATGGACTTTTGTCTTTTTTTCAGCCAGACTATGTAATTGTTAGAAAATTGTATGGGAGCTGGAGAGACATTCAATCTCACCTGTCCTTGTGGAGTAGTTTTATAGGTGCCACACCCCTATTATATCAGAAAAAAAAGCAAAAACCCTCACAAAGAAAAAACTAATGGGGCTTTTCAAGGCACCATACCATATGAAAGTATAGAAATGCACATGAAAACACTAGATAAAATAACATGTTTTATTATCATATTTATTAAAAAACCCACACAAGTGGTAAAAAAGACAATAGACAAAATAGGCACATACATAGTAAAGCAAAAACACAATTTAGATCTATAATTAACAGCAATGGGGAAAGGCTCTGGCCCGGGATGTAAAAGCGTCACAAGCAAGAGCCCCACCAATAACATTAAAGAAATAGATCGTCATTCGGCAAATGTATTTCCATGGGACTGAATTAGAAAAATGGAAAATCAGTCAAGGAATCCGACGCATTTCGTGGGCTATGACCCACTTCTTTAAGGAATTTAGGAAAAAAACAAAACCGTGCCTACAGTGGAATCAAAAAATCAAAACCAATTAACAATGAAAATACAAATGAAACAATAAACTCAGTGAAAATGTAAAGCAAAAATACAGTAAAGACAGAAAAATTACCAACCGATGATGATGCTCTGTACAGTAGTAACACCTAATGTGGATGAAGATCAATATTGGTAGAAAATACAAGAAGAAAGCTTAATTCAGCAGACACCGGGGAGGAAACCACCAATCCAAGAGTACATCTGGTCCTAATCGGGAACCATCAATCCAAGAGTACCTCTGGTCAGACAGATAGCAGAAGCCAAACCAATGTTCTAAGGGTCCATAAGATAATTAATGATTAAAGACTAAAAAACTTTCCACAATGAAAGAACAAAGATATATAGGTCTCTTACTTCTCTGAAAACCAACTATACACACCCCTCCTCCCCAAAGTCAGTCAAAAAATTGCATATATTACAGAGAAGGTCCAGTGTATAATATATTTGATCAAAATACAAAAAAGACCCATTGCTTGGCTAAAATAAATAGACAAACCATTGTATAAAGCCAAGAAAGCATACCGTTACAATTGCGCAAGGATGCGACAACCAACCATCAAGATCCAATGATAACACCCAAGCTTGGCCGCTCCCAGGATGGCAAAAAGGCAGAAGTCCCAGCAGTAGACAAAAAAGGGGCAAAACCTGCCCAAACAAGAGCCCCAGTGTAGTCCTTGCTGCCCGAAAGGTCAATGGACATTAAATAGTGATGGTTTGGCACAAAAACTTCCAAGAGGAAGTATTGTGAGCACATGGAGCGACACACGATGATGACGTCATGACATTGGCTTCATTCCGTCATAGGTCAGCGACGTTGGACATCAAAAAAACATCCAAGTTAAACAATTATCACCAGACACAAAAATGGCCCTGTAATACCAAAAAATGCCACAAGAGGGAACCGAACCCTCAACCAAGGCTAAAACAGGATATAAATCACAAAACCACCATTTAATAATAGGAAAAAATATAATATTAATGAAGGATGGCCAATGAACAAAATATCAGGGCATTGGTAGTAATTGGATCTAACATACAGAATGAATGACTACTGGACAGATAAACATCTGGAGAGAAAAAAACATCATTGGTTGATATTACATAAATCTGCCACAAAACAATATATACAAAATAGTAAGATTTAAACAAAAAGATATAATTGCTTATCCTTTTTTTTGAAACAAAATCACCCAACTTCAACAATAATAATAATAAAAAAGAGAAAAAAATGTTCCTCTGGATTCTAAGAAGCTGGCACAATTCCCTCTAGCCATCCAAGAAGCCCTAGCTCAAGGCTCCTAGATTAACCTGATTCCTCCCCAGGAAAGTTTAAAGGGCAGCTATTCAAACTTTATTACTGTTTGAAGAAAAGGATATTTATCCAATCCTGGATCTAAAATTGTTAAATGCCTTTGTGAATGTTTTCATTTTGTTCGATGGTTGTTTTACTCCATAAGGGAGACCAACCTTATAGGACTTGTCAGAAGTCTTTGTCATGACCAGTGGACCATTTTTCATTCCTGTATGAGGGGGTTAGACTGATGGTCCCTTCCTTTTGAAGTGGACGCCTTTGCTCAGTTTCATACTTTGACTCTCCAGTGAGAAATGCTGTGCAAGAGGAACACATTTCCTCTGTCCATGGACAAAGAAATTTTTGTCTCTGTTCCTGATCCAGTGTGTCACTTCTGAGTTTGCTGATGTTTCTTCCCCTTTTCGGGTGAGTCCTTCTCATTCAGTAACTGATCATTATGACAGTTGCCTCTTCAGCTGGGGTTAGTATTCAGAACTTTGTTCATAGTCAGTGGTAAAAAGAGGATGCTTGCCTTCCCATCAGTGTTCTGGACTCTGCATCCTCATGGATGACTCCACAGAAGATATGTGCGGTGCAGAAGAGAAAACCAGATGGTTCAGTCAAACATTGCCACTTCATTAATATGTTAATCACCAGTGGGGCACGAAATGTGGATAAGTGGTGCAGGAGATTTACCACGTTCTGCTGTGTGGGAAGAGAGTGGACAATTGGCAGGTGAATTAGCTGAGGCAATGGTCCATTTTTTTATGTGGAGGTGTTTCGGCGGATAATGCTCCAGTTGGAGAACTCTGAATGTGGATCTACTACACTCTTGTCTCAATACCAGAGTGGACAAATTCATCACAAGGCTGAGGAATGCGGTAGCAACAGACAGATCAGTAGTGTCCTAGGACAAATTCATTGTGATCTACTAGTATCCTCCTGTATGTCTTCTATCCAGACTTCTCTACAGGATCAAGTTGGAAAGACTTCCAACATTTTTGTGGTTCCAGATTGTCCTTGAAGAGCTTGGTACACAGATCTGGTTTATCTTCTAGCATACAAACCTTTTGTGCCTTCTGGATCATCCAGATCTCTTGTAAAGGCCTTGTCTCTATCCTGATTCTATCCCAGGTACTGAGGGATAGAATTTTGTCTGAGTCTAATGCCTACCATGTTACATAAATGAATAAAGGAATGCGCTAAAAATAAATTACCACAAAAAAACGGAATAAAATAATAAATACGAAATAATGTCCATAATGCTTATAAAAGTCCAACCACCATCAAAAGTGATAATCAATTCTGGAATCTTGCATAAATCAAAAAACACTGTGCAAAAATCCACCACCGAATGAAATGAATAAACTCACCAGAACTATATGCTGATCACATTATAAATCCGCATAATAGCAATTGCTCTGGGAGCGATGATCTGTAGAGGTATCCAAAGTATGGGAGCAACAAACTGCAATCAGCCAATCCGCACATATGGAACAGCCTTATCAGCAAGTGGTCACCATTTCTCCATAAATACTGGTAATGCTTCTTGTCATATTTTCCCTTGCGCAGTCGTGGTCCTGAGTCACGCCATTTATCCTCATCAATCTTTTGTTGTTCTGAAAAAATAAGACAAGAAGCATTACCAATGCTGGGCAGAGAGATCAGTGAAGGAAAGATGGCCTCCATTCATCTCTATGCCCTTGGAGAACTTGAGCGAAGTCATTTTGTAACTTCCGGTTCCTGTGCCTTGTAAACAAGGCCTTTTTATTTTATATTTTTAATCTAATGCTTTACATTGTAGAGGAGACATTTGGGATCTTACTGACCCATATCTTTCCATAAAGAGGATCTGTCACTGCTTATTTCTATCACAAGGGATGTTAGCATTCCTTGTGATAGGAATCCGTGATTTAAAAGAAAAAAAAAAAACATTTTAAAGGGTCAGTGTAAAAAAAAAAAAAAAAAAAAAAGTAATAAAAAAAGTTTAAGGTGCCTCCATCCCCCCATGCTGACACATATGTGAGCTATCCCCACAAACGTCAGAGCAAGAGCAATAATTCTAGCACTAGACCTCCTCTGTAACTTTAAACTGGTAACCTGTAGAGATTTTAAAACGTCGCCCCTGGATATTTTTAAGTTCAGTAGTTTGGCGCCATTCCACGAGCGTGCGCAATTTTAAAGCAAAGACACGTTAGGTGTCTATTTACTCAGCGTAATATCATCTTTCATATTTCTCAAGAAAATGTGTGTGTATATATAATTTTCTATATTCATTATAGTGGTATTTTTTTCCAAAAAAATTGCGTTTGAAAAATATATACAACTATTAAAACTGTCTGTTTCAGTTTTTGGCCAAGTGCATCCTAAATTTTCGGATTCAGCACTTGAAGTTTTCATTTTGGTGCACCACTAGTTTTTGCTATTGATCTTGGATGTAAGGGTTGCCTTTTGGTTGTCCTGGTGTGAGTGTCGGGCATGGTGCAGTGGTGGTTGGGGTCTGCCATTTGATAATGAATATTTGCATCTGTTGTGAGTTTATTTTAAATATTATTTCACTTCCAGTCACAATACTATTTGAATTCTGAATTGTTAGTGTAGTAGATCTGCTAATCGTCCTCACAAAGAGTGTGATGCCTGAAACTGTAGCCAGTTTGTACATGCTTTTATTGCAATTACATTTACTTGTATTTAGTGCTGCAACCTCTTGGAGTCCATCCTCCACCAGAAGCATCTGCTTGTTTTTTCTATGTAGTGCAAGGGCCTGCCTAATTGGTTGCAATTGAAAGTGGTGTTTAGGTTTGACCTCATGTTATATGGTTTTTGGTAAATCTAAAGCAAAATTTTCTAGAAAATTATATAATGTATGGTCAGCCTAAGCTGTTGGGTGAGGCTCTGGTTGTTTGCGCTAAACTGGATCTTGTAGGTGCTGCTCACCCTTTGTTTATACATATACTTTTTGTTGTTTGTATTATTTAATTTTTAAACATTTTCTATCACAAATTAAAAAAAAAACTAAGAAATCGGAAGGGGTGAGTGGTGCAATCCACTTAGGATTCGTGACAAGCTTTTGCATCTCCTATGGCTGGCCATACGCTATACACTTTTCTGCCCAATTTCCTTTCGATTTACCTGCAACTTTGTAGTGCAAGGGCCTGCCTAAGTGGATACAATTGAAAGTGTTGTTCTAAAGCAAAATTTTCAAGAAGATGGTATAATGTATGGCCAGCCTAAGTCACCAGCAAGTCTGGGGAAAAGCATCATAAGGGACTTACATTGGGGGCAATTGTGGAAAAGAAGTTTAAACTTTTCACTTAACTTTTCTTATATGTGACATAAAGCCCTCTATTCAAATTAATCCAGAGTTACGTGGTTGTTTTGAACATTTACATCTGTTGCATCCTTATATGATTGTATAACTGTAATTACCATTTTTCAGGTGCTGCTCCTAAATCAGCAGGTGGAGATTCTTCGTTAAGCATTGAGGAGACAAAGTAAGTATAAGGAAAATCTGTGCTTAGAGAAATAGTTCACAATCTTTAAGATGAATTCCAGGTATGGGTGATTTATAAATAGTTACATTGGTCCAGCTTGGACCAATGTAACTATGTATATACCATACCTGGCCAATGCCCTTGGAAGCTAGAAATCACTGTAGTAGATGCTGCTATTTAGTGATCTCCACTTGGTTCTGGGTCCCGTGATAAGCAGCTGCCATGCTGTATTTAGAACGCAGTAGTGTTCTCTGATTGGACAGGGTGGACTGGTGAATTCACATTCTTCACCTCGTCCAGTCAGAGAATGCTTTGCATTAATTTAGAAAATGCAAAGCATTCTTTAAATGGTATTTGTACTGAGCTGCTGCGGCCAGCCACTCGGCATAGGACTGAGAAGCAAGTGGAGATCACTGAAGTTAGCGGTGTCTGCTTCAGTGTTTTTCAGCTTCCAGGGGCAAGTGTGTGTGTGCGTGTCCTAGTTCTGCATTTGGCTAGGGTCAGCGTCACTACTGATAGCATGAAGTGAAAGATGGACCCTTCAGAGGTTGCACAGGCAGTCCTACTCCTCCAGGATGGCACATCAATAGGTGCCATTGCCAGAAGGTTTGCTGTGTCTCCCAGCACAGTCTCCGGAGCATGGAGGAGATTCCAAGAAATAGGCTGTTACTCTAGGAGAGCTGGACAGGGCCAAAGAAGGTCCTTAACCCATCGACAGGACTAGTATCTGCTCCTTTGTGCAAGGAGGAACAGTGTGAGCACTGCCAGGGTCCTACAAAATGACCTCCAGTAGGCCACTTGTGTGAATGTTTCTGACCAAACAATCAGAAATAGACTTCATAAGGGTGGCCTGAGGGCCAGATTTCCTATGCTCACTGCCTGGCACCATAGAGCTGGATTGGCATTTGCCATTGAACACCAGAATTGGCAGGTCCACCACTGGCACCCTGTGCTTTTCACAGATGAGAGCAGTTTCACCCTAAACACGTGACAGACATGAAAGGGTTGGATAAACTGTGGAGAACGTTATGCTGCCTGTAACAATGCTAGACAATCGCACCCTGACTGCCATTAGGTATCGGGATGGAATTCTTGGACCCATTGTCAGACCCTATGCTGGTACTACTATTGAATGGCCCCCATGCTCGCCTGACCTAAATCCAAAAGGGATATCATTTTTCAGTCCATCCACCACTGCCAGGTTGCACCTTAGACTGTCCAGGAGCTCAGTTATGCCCTGGTCCAGATCTGGGAGGAAATACCCCAGGACACCATCCGTCATCTCATTAGGAGCTTGCCCTGACGCATACAAGCACATGGGGGGGCCATACAAACCATACCATTGAATACCATTTTGAGATGCTGCAATGAAATTTCAGCAAAATGGACAAGCCTGCTGCATCATTCTTTCACTTTGATTTTCGAGGTGTCTTTGAATTCAGTCCTCTGTAGGTTGATAATTTTCATTTCCATCAAATGATGGGGCACCCTTATGTTCCTAACACATTACCCAGTCCATATCAAAATAGATATCCAGCATATTTTTCCCCATTGAGATCTGATGTGTTTTCAAAGTGTTCCTTTAATTTTTTTTGAGCAGTGTATATAGTTACATTGCTTCAGACTTTTTCTGAAAATTGTTACCAAACTGATCTAATGTCTCCAGTACTTTCCGTGTTTAAGACCCAGCACAATTACAGAGATTATTTCTCCATCACTTCATTTCAATTGAATACTGTAGGAGAAGGCTGCTGGTAGCATACTTGGATGCCTTTAAACAATCATTAAACCATTTAATCCCACTGAAATAGTAAGAGTGTAGTTTTTAATAATAATCTTCCATATTTGCAATCATGCTGGGTTCTTTCACAGCCAGAGTTTCTGTACAGATGATCAGAAACCTTTGTGTTCATGTGATCAATAGAACTATAGAAACATCTGTTTGGCAGGCAAATTGAAACATGCATGTGAAGAGCTAAAATGCCAAGTAAAGTTATTGGATATCAGATGGAACATTAAGATAATATTTAGTATATAGAACCTGAGGGAAGAAAAGGTCTAAAGAAATATGCTTCTGGAATTTATCCTACTTACCCCTCTACTGTAAAGTAAAACTGGCCATAGACAGATCAAAATTTGTCCAGTTCACCACAGACAAGCTAAATTTTAATGTGTGTGTGGCCATCCCTTTTCTGCAGAAGTTGACAAGTTGGAAAACTTTTTGACAATCAGCAACACCGTTGATCAGTATATTTTGACAGCTCTGGGTCCTATTGTCAGACTAAAATGTCCTAGTGGAAGGTTCCTCCATCCATCACAGTGGCTAAATGGTTAGCACTTCCTGGCAGTACTAGGGTCATTGGTTTAAATCCCAACCACGGCAACACCTGCCTGGAGTTTGCATGTTCTCCCTGTGTCTGCGTGGTTTTTTCTCCGGGTACTCCGGTTTCCTCCCACACTCCAAAGACATTCTGGTAGGTGAATTAGTTCCTGTCTAAATTGGCCCTAGTATGTGTATGTATGAATTAGGGGTGCACCGAAAGTTCAGTGGCCGAAACGTTTTAGCCAAAAACACCCCTATCAGCCATTGGCTGATATGAAAATAAGCACCAATACCCCGCTGAGAACCACCAAACGATCCCGACGCTGCGCATAGAGATAAGTGAAGGAAAGATGGTCTCCACTCATCTCTATGCCCTTGCAGGAGCGATATCACTTCCGATTTTTTTTTGTTTTCGTTTTTTTCGTTTTTTTTAAAGCACTAGATCAATGCTTTTTCTTTTTTTTTTTAACTAATGCTTTACATTGTAGAGGTGAGATGTGTGGTCCTATTGACCCCATAGCTCTTGATAAAGAGTACCTGTCACTAATTATTTCTATCACAGGGGATGCATGCATTCCTTGTGATGGGAATAAAAGTGATTAGAATTGTTTTTTAAAGCAACAGTGTAAGAAATAAATAAATAAAAAGTTTAAAGTCCCCCCATGCTTGCACGTAGTGGTGAACGCATACATAGGCCACACCCACATATGCAAACTGTGTTTAAACCACACATGTGAGGTATCACCACGAACGTCAGAGCAACAATTCTAGCACTAGACCTCCTCTGTAACTTTACACTGGTAACCTGTAGACATTTTTAAAGAGTCACTCATGGAGATTTTTAAGTACCATAGTACCATCTATTTACTCGCTGTAACATCATCTTTCATATTTTACAAAAAAATTGGGGTGTATATTGTGTTTTTGTTTTGTTTGTTTTTTCCAAAAATAGATATTTTTAAAAACCGTCCATTTCGGTTTCGGCCAAGTGCATCTTGAATTTTTGGTTTTGGCACCAGAATTTTCATTTCGGTGCACCACTAGTGTGACTGTAAGTTAGTGACCTTAGATTGTATGCCCCTTGAGGGTGAGGGACTGATGTAAATGTACAAAATATATGTAAAACGCTGTGTAAATTGACAGCTCTATATAAGTGCCTGAAATAAAATAACTAAATCTGTTGGGCGTTTTGTTCAGCCCATCTTTGGCCAGCTTATAGTGATTTGTAAACCCTCACCTTGTAAAACAAATTCAGTTTAAAATAGAAATTAAAAAAGTCAAAGTGTTTTGTGTATACATATAAAAAAAATATTTATAATGTTTTTATAAGTGATTAAATACCCTCCGTTCTCAGCTGCATATTAGCTAGGGAACGAGATACAGCAGTACACTGATCTACCCAGTGAAAGGCTGTGCAATGGGGTGTGTTAGGACAAGTCTCATAATTGGAGGAGAGCACACTGAGTTCCCAGCACAGCTAGAGAACTGACCATGGTGTATTCTGAGTGTGATCAATTTTTAATTGGAAATCAGAGGGACTGGCAGCAACACTAGGGATTTCACATTAAAAGAAGCAATACAAAGAGAACGGGATACTTTCTCATACAGGTACATGGTACAGCAGGCACATATCAGGAATATGAAATGTTGGGCTTACATATTTTTCAACTCCTAAGATTGGAAATGAAGGGGGGGAAGGGGAAGTCTAGAACTAGGAGCCAGTAGGCACTGCATATGTGATAACAGTACACTTACTGACAGAAGAAAACAGAGGGATTATCTGTGTGCAGCTACACCTTAAGCCAGCCATAGATGTACGATTTTTCTTTCCTGCAACCACAGCGCTATAGAAGTACCATAAATAAATATTCCATAATATTTAAAAAAAACTTGGCGGTGGGGGGGCACAGGGAGCCATCCCTTTTGGGAGAACACAGTGATTATTGCTAGTGCTTATTGCTGCTGGCAATAATCGCATGAATATCTGACATGCTGGTTGTACCCAAGTTGATTGCTCCATCAACCTGGGTGCAATCAGTCTGCCCACACATGGTTCACATCTCGACCAGTCCCTGATGAACCGGCCAAGATTCGAACCGTCTATGGCTGGCTTTACTTATCTAGTTAGGGTGGTGGTGTTTTCTTGATCATGTTTTACTGCTGCTGCTGCAGTAAAGGTTGAGTACCTGACTGTACTGTCTGGATCACGAATGCTTTGATAGATAAAATAATTCATATATTATCAACCTTGCAATTAGTACATTGCCTGGATCCAACTTTAAAGTGGTTTTGAAGCATGGACATTTTTTTTTACCTTAAAACATTCTCTGCATTAAGGCAAAAAAAGTCCCAGTGTTTGTATCACCCCCTCACTCCCCTTTTATACTTACCAGAGTCCTATCTCGATCCATCAGCAGCTCTCTCCTCTCTCTCTGCTCACAGAGGCAGCAGTGGGGTCCTGCTGCTGCCAATCTAATCCTGGGAGCAGGTTACAGAGCTGAGCTGCGCTATGCATGTTAAAAGACATGCAAGATTGAGCCCCCTATTTGAATAAATTACATTTACAAATGCTTTATGGACACCATATAGCAAGTTTTAGCTTCTTTGTTTTCTTTCCTCTAGTAAACTTCGTGCTAAACTTGGTTTAAAACCCCTGGAAAATCAATACTGCCAAAACGGGTAGGTTTTTTGTTTGCATTAACATCTACATTAATTTAAAATGTTTGGAATTATATTTGACAGTGTTCTTCCATTTTATTTTTATTTTCTTTTAATAGAAAGTGGCACTAAGGAAGACCCAGTTGCAGCAGCTGTTATTAACCCACTAGCTCTAAAACAACAACAGGAACTCAGAGAGAAATTAGCAGCTGCTAAAGAAAAGAGGATGCTGAACCAGAAATTGGGGTAAGCACTTGCTCATTTTGGACATGGTGGGGGATTTTGAGGGATTCTATAATTATTGTGAAACTTTCTTTCAACTAAATTGCTGCCACACAGGAGACAAAGGTGTTGAAGAAAGCAAAAGTTCCTTGTACTGAGTTTTATAATGACCTGAAGGACACTGTCTACTCTTTCCTCACTCCTACATGCTTCTCTCACTTCCATCTACAGTAAAATAAAATCCTTGGGGGAGGATGAACTATGGTTAGATGATACAGCTGCTTGGATTGAGAGAAGCCGAAAGCTTCAAGCAGAAAAAGAAAAGGCAGAGAAGAGGGTGCGTATCTCTTCAAAAGAGAGCAAACACATGACTTTTGGATTTAGGAGAGCAGTGTTAAATGCATCCCATTGTTTTAACAGGAAAAACTCTTAGCAGAAATGGATGAAGAGTTTGGTGTCTCTAATCTTGTGGAGAAGGAATTCGGGCAAACAAAGGTTAGTCTTTTGACCTAATCTTAAAGGTAAATTAGGCTGGCCTTACTCTTTTGTGTAGTTTTGTAGCAGTGTTCTGATTGGTTTCTTTCAGGAGAATACTGAATGAATGTCAGGTCAATCAGAGACTACTTTCTCGCCAGTGCAAACAGAAGGAAACTTTGGTCAGAGGGAATCTCACCTTATATTACAATCCCTAAACAAAACATAAATGTAACCCCAAAAGAAGAAAGGGGGGCGGGAGGAGTGAACAGGTATTTTAGTGTGCAAATAAACCAAACCTCAAATATCAATTAAAACAGTTTTGACTTTATTGCAAATCTGTTAGGTGGTGGGAGCACACATATGTGCTGCCCAGCAAACACAAATGCTCCTGCACTTGGGGATGGACTGGATGCAGGCTACAACCACATTAAGAATGTCCTGGAACATGCACACCTTGCTGCCCTCAATAGAACGGGGAAATCCAAATATACTGAATGAGGAAAGAACAAAAAGAGGGCGCACAGGCCTCTAGTGCATTACCATAAAAAATGTTTAATAAATAAAGTAGGTGTTGTACTCTCAAACGACAATAAAGTCAAAGCACGTCATAAAAGAACAGCTTAGTCAACACCTCGCTGAGTAATAGTCCGCAGTATGGAGGTTAGACATCCAATAGGCTGACGCGTTTTGAGGACTTGCCTGAGGAAGAGGCAAGTCCTCGAGACGCGTCAGCCTATTGGATGTCTACACACCCTATTGCGGACTGTTACTCAGCGCGGTGTTGACTAAGCTGTTCTTTTTGTGATGTGCCTTGACTTCATTGTCATATGTGCTGCCCAGCCTGAGGCTCAAGAGGGCACCAGACAGTCTGTAGGCGAGGCCCGCTGTCTTATGCACATGTCACAGGTGCAGCCTTGCCTACCTGTGCTACTTCCAGGAGGTTGCACCGCCCCATGCAGACATCATTCTGAGTTAGACACACCCCTGTCATCAGCTCTGTCAGGGAGCTCAGGCCTCCATGTGGCAGAACACTAGGAGTCAACCCCCTCCTCTATTGATCTGGTGCTGTGAGTGTCACACCTTTATGTGCACAACAGGCATGGCTTACCTATTACTAGGGGAACAGGGGACTAAGCTCCCACTTTACTGTTGGAGACTGTCTTCCACAAAATTTCTAGAACAGACCAGTTCTGACTCAAGCTCAGTATCCATTTTATTTTCCTCTGCACACTGCCTGGAGCTCCTTCCTCAGTTACTTTTTTGTGTTCAAAATGAATTTTTGACTGCTTTTGAAACTGTGCTGGTACAACTAGGAGAAGCATCCATTAAGATTTATGGCAGGATGACATTAAACAGGTGGTCTCCATCACTGTAGGAGCTACCTTTGTTGTGAGTTTTCCCTTCCACCCATTTCTAGGATTGGAAGAGGAAAGGTCTGAGGAAGTGGACTCATCTGAGGAAGACATCCTCTGAGCACACCCTGGCCTCAAATGATTCCCAAATCTGAAGCTGTCAATACCAGAATTCTTGGGGTCTAAGCTGACAGGGTTGTGGGTCCTTGGAAAGCACCCAAGCCAGTGAATTTATTTTTGTTGTATTATCATACGGTAAAGGATCTGATTAAGAACTGGGGCCTATTCACATGATATGCTTGTGCCCCTAATTGGTTTGCACAACAAAACAAAAAAAAAAAGTGGGTGGTCCTAGCTTTTAGACCTTGTGCTGTTTTATTTGAATAAGACCCTTATAGTGCCGGTGGACAGTGTAGCAGTGTTTAGGGACCCTGCAAATTTGAGTCCCTTTTTTAAGGCATCCTTTTCCTTGGCAAGTGCTACCAAGCAACCTACCACTGCATCAATGGGTTTTTTTCAGGCTTTGATGGTTTGGGCAAAGGGCAAGGCTAAGGAACCTGGAGATCTAAAAGAGAGAAAATGTATCCCCCTTCCATTTTCTTGGTGGACATCAAGGATGCCTACCTCCACATTCCAATTTTTCTGCCTCAACTCTAGGTGCGTATTATAGGAGTGGAGTGAAGGAACAGTATTTTCAATTTGAAACCCTGCCCTGTGGCCTAGCCACAGCACTACATGTATTCAAAAAGGTGTTTCCCCCAATGTTGTCTCTCTCTTGTAACACTGGGGTATCTGCAAGATCTGCTCCTGTGGTAACAATTGGCGGAAGGCCTCAAGGTCAGGCAGTACTGTACACTCCGTTTCATTCAGAACGGTTGACACTCAACATCTCGACAGCATGGGGCAAGACTTTGTCCCTCATTTATACCATGTGTCTGAGCACCAAAACCTAGTTAGCCTTGGACTGGTGGCTATACAGACCAGCACTGCAACTGGGAAACTCCTTTCTCTCTGTGGTGTGAAAAGTGCTGATAACAGATGTCCTGTCCACTTTGGGGGGGAGTCCTGGGTTCCCTGTCGATTCAGGGAACTTGGTTGTCGGAGGAAGCCTGGATGCCAATCGAAACTCTGGAGCTCTGGGTGATTCAGCCGACCCTTCAAGATGAACGGCTTACTGCTCCAGTAACTGCCAGTCGGGGTCCATGCTGACAACGACCATGGTGTACATCAGTCATCAGGGTGGTATCCGTCAGATCGCTCTCTGAAAAGCAGAGCCAATTCCGATTTGGGCAGAACTGCACGTGCGGCCCTGTCCACTGTACACATTTCTGGTGTGGAAAACTGGTAAGCAGACTTCCTAAGCCTCCCACAGCTTACTCCTGAAGAGTAGTCTCTCCAGTTGGTGGGGTTTAGTCTCTTCGTCTTCAGAATGTAGAATTTCTTGCGTCCAGACATGACTGCAAACTGGAGAGGTAAGTAAGACTATTTAGCGCTGCACTTTTTTGTTATATATTGTTTGAGGGATTGTATCCCTGTATCAGCTGCTTTTTATTATTTAATCTGAGCACAAAGATTTATTTGAATTTAGGTGAGTATTCAAGTCCAGGGATCCTCTGGCCTTCCAGGTGGGTGCTGTTGTCACTCCGTGGAATCAGTCCAGTTCAGCCTGATTTATGTTTTTCCCCCTCTCAAGCTTTTATTATACCTGCTTCAGAGGATAGAGATTCTCACTGCACCAAACTGGCCCACGAGAGCATGGTACTCAGACCCCTAGCAGACTCTTTGATCCCTACTCATCCGGAGTTTTGTTCTCAGGGTTCCGTGTTCCATCCTGCTTCACGGTTGCTAGCATTGAGGGCTTGGCTATTGAAGCTCAAGTGGTAAGGGACAGGGATCTTCAGATCAGGTGATGATTTCCACCTTACTAAAGGCTTCCTCCCGTAGCTTTTACCACTGCACGTGAAAAGCTTACATGGTACAAAGAGAGGCAGCTTCACCCCAGGAATTTCTCTGTGGGACAGCTTTTGTGAGAATAGCATAAGCCCCTAGCCCTAAGGACTATTAAGGGCCAGGTTTCTGCCTTGGTGGTACTTTTCAGGGACAGTTAGCTTCCCATTTCATAGTCAAATCCTTTGTGGAACCTTATGTTGTTAGTCCTTCAGAGGCCACTGTTTGAACCTTTTTCTAAACATTCCACACCCTTTTTTGACACAAGATTGCCGTTCTTGTGGCTATCACTTTGATTATGAGGGTATTTGTGTTTGCGGCTTTGTCCCATAAAGAACCTTTTCTTTTACTTCACAAGGACAAGGTTATTTTGAGACCTCAGAGCACTATCCTGCCTAAGGTGGTCTTGGCATTTTATTTTAATCGTGACATATTGTTGCCTTTCTTCTGTCTTGTTTCTAAACATACTTGGGAGATTGTTTTCCATTGCCTAAATGTTGGTTCGGTCTTTGCCAGAGTTTTTCACTGCCATGGTCTCTACTTGTCTATCCAACGCTCTGCTCGTATTGCCTGAGGGATCCCCGAAGAGATGGGCTGCCTCTCTTCCCACAGTTGCTTGGTAAATGAACTCTCCTGTGTCCTTTTGATGTACAATTAAGTTGACAGGATTTTGACTGATCTATAAAACCACTTTCTTGGAGTACATCATAGGACACAGGGCCCTTCCTTTTTTTATTTCACTTTGATATTGCTTGTTGGTAATACGGAGAGTGAAAAGGGTTTTGCAGGGCTGAGTCTAGCTTTGGTATTTGCCGCTGCCCATTGATTGGAAGGTGAAGCATAACCCAATGGTGTGAGAACGAACACGCTTGTTTACTATGATGCACTCCAAGAAAGGGATTTTATAGGAAAGACAAAAATCCAGTTTTTGCTAGCAATGTTTCTTCAATATCTTACATTTTTCTTCAGTCATCTTTCTTTGCCACATCAGTGCTCATGCGCGCTGATCTGTACAATTGCAGCTATGCTATCTAGAGCAATGACCTCGCTTTGAAGTGCTGTACTTGGACCCAGCTGGGCTGAATGTTGTGGGTTTAGCCTTGAGGTGACCTTCTGGCAGTGGGTTGTATGTTAGGGGCTTCATGACCCCAATCTGATATCCAGTTGGCTTCAGAGTGCTTTCCAGGTCCAAAGCTGTTGGCATTGATTCAGCTCTTACCCTGTCTCCAAAGACTCGCTCTGAATAGGCTGATAGGGTTGAGCAGCAGGAGCTGCCTCCGTTGTTTGGACTGTTTACCATTGGTTTTACTGTGAAAGGGGTTAACTCTGAGGGACTGAGCACTGGCATAATCCAATGAGTGTAGTGTGCATGCACTGTGCACTCTTTCTGCTGCTCATTCTCGAACTACCTTTCTGCTGCTTCTGCTTTGCAAAGAGCCATGTAGAACATCGGTACAGTCCTATTTCTTGTCTACTGGCAGTTTGGTTATCTCCAGCCTTCTGCCCCTCACTGATTACCAGGTATCTGGGTTTGTGTGAGTACCTGAGACCTTGCTCCATACTCAGACCTTGATTGCATCACTACCATGTGGTCATGATATGTCTGTCTGTAGACATAGTTTACGCCAGCCCAAAAACCCCTTCCAGGATGTATATTATGTCCTGTCTGAAGGTACTAATTAGCTGCAGGCATCATCCTGGTTTAAACCTACTTTAAACTCAAATAATGTATATGTATGTGATTAATAGATCCTTTCCTGATAAAGTTTGTTGCTTCAGAGGTAATGACCTACTGGACACATCTAGGCTTGTCTCTCGATTGGTCTGTGTCTGTTCAAATGCACTGAGCACTGGGATACAGACATTATCTCCAAGGAGTGCCTGACCTGCTTGGCCTTTAAGGGGTGACTCTTCACCTACTTCTGAAATAGGCCTTTGTTACTCCTTGGGGGCATTTGAGTAGTTTGCATATGCATGCCTGAAGGGTAGAGCATGTCCTTTCAGATTTACAGACCCACATCCATCATCACCAGATGTCTCTTCCTTACTCTAACTCTGTGTCACTGCACAGATTAGCAGACCTGCTTCTGCTTCCTTGGGTCTCCTAGACTGAAGGATTCCTGTTCTAATTTCTGTGGCAGGTTTGCCTCACTGACTGCATCCCAGCCTACCCACTGTTCTCTTCCACAGAGCATTCGTTTGTCTCCCATGGGAACTCCAGTGTTTTCATGGCACTGGTGTACTTTTGCCACCAAGGAGTAACAGGAGTTCTTGTGACCAGGGAAGTAGTTTAGAACCTATATGGCAGTACAGAATCACGTTCTTGTGGCCAGGTCATTGTAGCTTATGCTAGCTGTGTTCCCTCTTCTGTTAAGTTTATGGTCACTTCAGTGAACAGCAGAACTGCACCCCTGACTGCTGATTAAAAAAAATAGTTGTAATCAGTGACTGACAAGCCATTGATCACTAATATTCATTAAAAAATGTGTTCTTCTAGTATGCTGATAAATCTTCTCATATTAATTTGTTTCCTTTTGCATACCTATTGTGTTCATATTAGTCAGGAGCTTTTTTAGCAGTCCTGTATCAGATCCTGCCCTTCTTTGTCTACCAACTTTATATTTAAGCCAAACATGAAGGCAGCAAGCAATCTGTTTGTTTTCTGTTTACAGAACTATTCATCTACAGATTTGCAGGGACTGACTGTTGAGCATAATATGGATTCCTTTATGGAGGGACAGACTGTAGTTTTAACACTCAAGGACAAAGGTAGGGAGCCTCCCCAATGTTCACATACTTGAGTATTGGGTGAACGGTAAGCTAAACTGTGATCCCAGGTACATTTTTATATAGTTTATTTTTCCCCCCTTCAGGTGTTCTTGATGAAGATGATTCTGATGTCTTAGTTAATGTGAACATGGTAGACCGAGAGAAAGCAGATAAAAATGTTGAGCTAAAGAAAAAAAGACCTGATTACAAACCTTATGAAGAAGTAGAGAGTGTGGATGACATGGTTGTGGTAAGTCTGAAGTTTAACTGGCCTTTTTCTATGAAGCATTTGATCGAAGATTTATTTCCCTATTGCTAATGCTATTTGATGGAAAATGCCTGAATTTATTTTTTTTTATTTTTAGTTCCGTCACAAATCTGTCCTTTCCAAATATGATGAAGAGATAGAAGGAGAAAAGAAGAAATCCTTCCGACTGGAGACTGGAGGAACAGTGGATGGTTCATGGGAAAAAGAACTGCAGTCAATTCGGGAAACGTTGCACAATCAAGCGCAATCTCTAGAACTGCCAGGGTTGAAGATTGCATCTGAGTACTATACACCGGAAGAGATGGTAAGATTGTAGAATTCGAAGTGTTTCAAAGAGTTTTTCTTTATCCTAATTTTATGAAACAAAATGGAAAAAATAGCATTTCCCTATACTACTTTAAAAGGTCTCCTTCAAGAAAACAAAGAGGCGAGTGAAAAAGATACGCAAGAAGGAGACAGCCATTCGAGCTGAAGACTTCTTACTCATGAAGCTAGATACTCGAGAGAGTGATTTTGGATCTAGGTAAGCACAAAGAACTTTAACATTTACCCTTTTGTAGTAGTATCTTGAAGACTGTTTTTTCGTTTTTTTAATTCCGCCTTTTCAAGTCCTCTTCCAGCACAGGACATGAGAGAGAGAGAGTAGTTCCGCTTACCTAAAACAGGAAACGCATTATACAAAATCAGTAAAATTCCTAATCACCCCAGTATTTGTGGTTCCTCAAGCCCAACCGGAATCTCAAAATAGTTTTATTTGCCCTCAGGCCTTTATGCTAATTGCAGGGGCTTCCCAGTATATCATCCACCATATTTTCAGGGACAGTGGACCTGCAGGAGTTGCAAATCGTGGCTTTTCTTGACTTGGGTTAACTTTTGTTAGTATCATAGAAACCCTCCCTCCCCATAACCTTCCTTGCCTGAGGAGAAACAACTATCCCTGCAGGCGCTGAGGCTTTAGCACAGCGCTCCTTTACTCACATTTGGTCAGGCTTAAAGTCCTCCCCTGTGTTGCTCCAGGATATGTGTGTGGTAGTGGCCAACCCTTTTTGGCCAGCTGAACCTGATGATTGTTGTGGATGGACTGTGACTGCTGGCATCCCCTCGTCCTTTGAGTGGTATAATTTTCATAGCTGAAGCAGGTTCATGCTCTTCCTTCCTGTGTGTCATCAAGGTTGGATTATAGAAGTCTGGTGTCCTTGACTACTTTCAGGTAGGTGATGTACATCCTCTGAGCTTTTGATCAGCTAAACTGGTAATTCATGATGTCTGCAGTTTTTGGGGGGGATTCAGTACTTCTGCTTATGAGCTTTAAAAGCTTTATACTCCACACTCTCAGGCCAGTTAAATTCTCTAATGCAACCTCTCAAAAGAGAACCAGTCTAAATGGTGCTAGACAGGGCTGTGCACTGTTTACTTTGATGTTTCGCCATGAGCAGTGACACTTGCTGCATCATTTAAAAATAACCCAGATTTAAACTGTGCCAGGTTGATTATCTATAATGAAAAAAGTCTGATAATCTCATCATTCAATTGAAATCCCTAGACTGGCTGTGGATTACAACGAACATTAAGTGGACTGCAAAGCACCCTGTTTAACATATCTGCCCTAACTGTACCAATACCAAAACTTTGACTGGAGAACTTTAAATCGGTAGCTCTCTATTCTGGTAAATTCCTTTCTTTAGGTCTCGGGGACGTGGTCGAAGGCGAGTTGAGGATTCAGATGAAGAGGAAAATCTGGATCTTAAAGAGGCCGTGCCACAATCTGATGACCTTCGAGTGGAGAGTATGGACATCAGTGACCATGGTAAGATAATATGGTTACAGGTGTTATACAGTTTAATAACTGGTACAGTTTGGAGATTAGTAACACTGTACTTAGATGTTTAACCGCTAACTCCACCTTTCAGATAATTTTTCAGGTTTACACCCATATTTATAGTATAGCATGAAACATGGCTATCATGCACATTTCCCTCTTCCCCTCACTTACAGGATTGCTGGGTTCTTGTGTATGCTGGTTTCTGTTCCAGTTTGAACTCAGTCATGTCATTCAGCCCCGATAAGTGAATCGCACTTGTGATTCACTGATCACTGTTGCATTGCTTTGCAAGCTTAAAGTGATTCTAAAGGTTGTAATTTAAAAAGCAAATAACAAGCACGCTGTCACGAGTTACCTCAATCCACACTCCCTTAGCCTGGGGATTCTGGGGTGTCTCCTCTGAGAGAGCCATTGCCAGCAATCTAGAATGCAGTGACACTGTAGTCATAGGGTCTACTTCTGAAACCTCTTCAGTTCCATTTAGTGAGGCCTCTACTCCAACCACTCTAGAATATTTGTGTCCAAATTAACACCATTCCTCATGACCACAGAGGTTCCAAGTGCGTCCCAGCGCTAATACTTGCAGAGTTTCTCTGAGGCCTTGACAAACTGTGCCACCAGTCCCTGTGACTATTTATGATTCAGATTCTGAGTTCCAGCAGTCTATCTCAGTATAGCCTGTCCTTGAGGCTCCCTAGTCTCTTGCTGTTATCTCATAATTACTATGGATCTTTTTACACTTTACAGATTGCAGAATGTACTACCCTACAATTTCTTGTGTGTTGGAATGGTTTTCCCTTTCTTAGAAGGAATTCTTTAAATAGTGGGTTTGTATCCACTGTAAGTCTGCCAGTGACACCCCTTTCAAACAGGAACACTACTTTTAAATGGGCTCAGTTCACATAGCATAAACACATGCAGGCATCTTTTTTTGAGCCGCACTGGGACTGGATTGCATGGTCTTTTTGTGCCATGTGATCCTGTGTAGGCAAGTTTACTGCATTTGCAACTGGTGGTTGTGGTGCTGTTAACTTTGAATTGACCCCTATGCAAATCACAAAGCACAGTACATTTGCAATGCAGTCCCGGAAACCCACAGGAATTGTGACGTTGTCCGCACTGTATATGTGTGAACCTAGGCTCAGTTGGACTGGTTTTGAACATCCTGACAGGATCAGAATTCCTGTGACAATCGGTGGGCAAGAAAAAAAAAAACAGGTTTTTTTTTTTTTTTTTTTTTTTTTTGTACTTTCAATAACATTATTTTCTTGAAGTTCATTGTGGACATATCGCTCTGTGTTTTGTGTTCATTTTCTTGGTACTGCTTGCTATAAGCTGGACATGCTTTCTTGGTAGAGCAGGTGTTATCCTGGGCTGGCCTACAAATTATTCACTTTAAGACAGCCCACCTGCCCAAATGTACTGCAGACGGGTGGCTGATTGTAGGCAAAGCCACGTATGGGTATGTCCTTGCCTACTTCCGGGTTTCAGGCGCGTAACTCCTCTATGATTGTACACAGCAGGTGTCTGTCAGCAAGTCCCAACCAATGATTCATAGCCCGTACCTGCTGATCGGCTGTGTGCGATCACAGCCCAGAGCTCTGTGTTAGTAAACATCACAGAGCTCTGTGCAGAGGGAGCGATCTCTAAGTTTCAGGGGTGAGAAACTTAGAAATCCTTTAGTGAAAGCAGCACACTTTACACACATTATTAATAGTTAGGCACACTTTAATCCCTTGATCACCCTAGATGTTAACCCCTTCACAGCCAGTGCAATTAGTACAGTGACACTGTATAGTATTATCACTGGGGATGTCAGTTAGTGTCACATTGCCCACTGCACTCCTCCAGTCCCATTATAAGTCACTGATCGCCCCCATTAGTAATGCACAAAACAAATTACAGTATATATACCATAGTTTGTAGGTGCTAAAACTTTCACCCAAACCAATCCGTGTACATTTATTGGGATTTTTTTGTTATCAAAGATATGTAGAATATGTTTTGGCTAAAATTTTATGAAAAAAATAGATTTTTTTTTTAAACATTTTTATTGGATTCGTTTTATAACGGAAAGTAAAAACATATATATATTTTTTTGGTCTTTTCTCATTTATATCACAAAAAATAAAGTCAGTGGTGATCAAATAACACCAAAAGAAAGCTTTATGTGTGTGAAAAAAGATTATATAAATTTTGTTTGGCTACAGCATTGAATGACCTCGCAATTGCCAGTTAAAGTAGCGCAGTGCGGCATAGCAAAAAAAATGGCCTTGTCATGAAGGGGTGAAGGAAGTAAATTCTTCCGGAGCTGATGTGGTTATTGTGGGTTTTGTTTTTTGTCAGTCCAGTTCTCCTGTAGACACATAATGCACATAATAAATATAAACTTGCGCCACAGAAAAAATATAAACTTTTCAATTTTAAATGCTGCAGTTCTAAAAATCAATCAAATAAAATTATAAACAATCCACAGCGCAAATAAATTATATATAAAATTTAAAGTACTATAAATAAAAGTCCTAAAAAAAAAAATCAAAAAATCACACACATGAAATGCTCTATTTTTTTTTTTCAAAAATATATGTACTCAAAGTGTGCTTTATAAAAAAACATGTGAGTGCATATAAGGCAGCCTATTTTTTTTTTTTTTTTTTTTTTGTATATTTATAAACAATTAAAGCCTTTTTTTGTTTTTTTTTTTTTTTTTTTTGATAAAGATTTTTTTAGAGTATTGCACTGTTGTTTTTTTGTTTTGTTTTCCATTGTCATCCGATCGTGGGAGTCGTTTCTGGAGGAGATTGAGTACAGAGTTATCTAGGAGGACATGCCCAGTCACTTTAAGCTTGTTTGACTCTTTTGCCATATCAGCAAAGAGTCCATTCCATCTGGTGAGTGGGGATAGAGCATTAATCATGGATGTTGTGAGCACATTTGTTTGAAGAATTTTGGAGCACGGTTTCTTTTGGGATTGAGCAAAATTCATATATTTTTGAAAAAAAAAAATTTGTGTGGATTTTATATTTTTTTAGACTTTTATAGTACTTTAATTTTATATATAATTTATTTGCGCTGTGGAGTATTTATAATTTTACATAATGCACATATCTCTCAGTGGGCTTCAAGAAAATAATTTAACAGCAAGTAGAAAAAACAAAATCCTGTCCTCCCCTAAACTAACGGTTTGAACCATGTTTCTTTTCCAGAAACTGCTCCAGGATCACCATTTGCTTTGGAAGAAGATGAATTGGAGACTGAGTTAGAAAAACAGCTGGACAAAAGTAGACGCCTGAAGCAGCAACAGAGAGAGGGTACTGAGAAGGTATGCACATAGTATTTGCTATTTGTCGGCTTTGTGGAGAGCATTGGATGTTATGGTTCATGTGACTGTAACTGAATGCCATGCAGTGAAGGAAATAAGTATTTGATCCCCTGCTGATTTTGAATGTTTGCCCGTTCACGAGGAAATGATCAGTCTAAAAATCGAATGGTAGGTGTATTGTAACACTGAGAGACAGAATAGCAACAGAAAATTCAAAAGAAATGCATGTCTAACAAATTATGCACTGAGGGAAATAAGTATTTGATCCCCTATCATTCAGCAGGATTTCTGGCTACCAGGTGTCTTTCATACAGGTAACAAGCTGAAATTAGACTCAGTCTCTTAAAGGGAGTGCTGCTAATCTCATTTTGTTACCTGTATAAAAGACACCTGTCCACAGGAGCAATCAAACAATCAGATTCCAAACTCTACACCATGGCAAAGACCAAAGAGCAGTCCAAGGATGTCAGGGACAAGATTGTAGACCTACACAAGGCTGGACTGGGCTACAAAACTATCGCCAAGCAGCTTGGTGAGAAGGTGACAACAGTTGGTGCAATCATTCGCAAATGGAAGAAACACAAAACAACTGTCAGTCTCCCTAGGTCTGGTGCACCATTCAAGATCTCACCTCGTGGAGTGTTAATGATCATGAGAACAGTGAGGAATCATCCCAGAACAACACGTGAGGATTTTGTCAATGATCTCCAGGCAGCTGGGACCACAGTCACCAAGAAAACAAATGGTAACACACTACGCCGACAAGGATTGAAATCCTGCAGTGCCCGCAAGGTCCCTTTGCCCAAGAAAGCACATGTCCAGGCCCGTCTGAAGTTTGCCACTGAACATCTGAATGATGCAGAGGAGGACTTGGTGAAAGTGTTGTGGTCAGATGAGACAAAAAGTCGAGCTCTTTGGCATCAACTCAACTCGCCATGTTTGGAGGAGAAGGAGTGCTGCCTATGACCCCAAGAACACCATCCCAACTGTCCAACATGGTGGTGGAAACATTCTGCTTTGGGGGTGTTTTTCTGCTAAGGGCACAGGACAACTGGACTGCATCAAAAGATGACGATGGATGGGGCAATGTACCATCAAATCTTGGGTGAGAACCTTCTTCCCTTAGCCAGGGCATTGAAAATGGGTCGTGGATGGGTGTTACAGCATGACAATGACCCAAAACACATGGCCAAGGCAGCAAAGGAGTGGCTCAAGAAGAAGCACATTAAGGTCCTGGAGTGGCCTAGCCAGTCTCCAGACCTTAATCCGATTGAAAATCTGTGGAGGGAGCTGAAAGTTCGAGTTTCTAAACGTCAGCCAACCTTAATGACTTGGAGAGGATCTGCCAAGAGGAGTGGGCCAAAATCCCTCCTGAGATGTGTGCAAACCTGTTGGCCAGCTACAGAAAACATCTGACCTCTGTGATTACCTACAAGGGATTTGCAACCAAGTACTAAGTCATGTTTTGTGAAGGGGATCAAATACTTACTTCCCTAGTGAACATGCAAATCAGTGCATCATTTGTTAGACATGCATTTATTTTTAATTTGTTGTTGCTATTCTGTCTCTCAGTGTTACAATACACCTACCATTCAATTTTTAGACTGATCATTTTTTTGTGAGTGGGCAAACATTCAAAATCAGCAGAGGATCAAATACTTATTTGTGTGTGTGTGGGCTCAAAATTTCTGAGCTACTAGCCAGGCCTTAAGAGTTTCTTGCCACCAGTTGCCCCACCCAACCCCCGGCTTGCACCGCCCCTAATTCCACCTCTAAACACGTCCTCGCAAATTATCTCATGAAACGACACTGTTGTTTTATAAAGAATAAAGGTACAAAAATAAATATTAACCGCTTCCCGACCGCCCTATAGCAGAAATACTGCTGCAGGGTGGCACAGGTGTGTAAAATCACATGTTAATATACGGGATTTTTGTATTTGTGGCCGCGGCTGTCAATGACCGGGTCTCGGACGGTAATTACCTGCCAGCGCCTGGAGATTACCGAGCATCTCCTACCAACAGTCTTCCTTTCTGTGAGCTCGGGCACACTGCTCTGGATGGCTGTGCCCGGGGGAGCCAGGAACACCTGGGGGCCATCACCATACTTGGGATGCGGGGAGAAGCCAAGAACATCTAGGGGCAATCACCTACTCGGGAGCTGGGCCAAGAAGGAGAGCTGGGTGAATATATATATCGCCTATATCCAGGCGAGTGGAAATTTTGAAGCCAGATATAGACAGGTAGAGATACATACATACACATCTATCTATCTATCTATATATATATATATATATATATATATATATATATATATATATATATATATACACACACACAGTTGTGTTCAAAATAATAGTCAGACATCACTAACCTGATCAATCACTGTTTTTGGTAGAAATGATATTTCTACATGGCAAATAATTTACTAGCAGGTGTAGTAGAGTAATAGAAATCCAACAGACCCAACAGTCATGACATGCATGCTGCTGATTCTGTGTAATTGAATCACTAATTGAAAGGGGCATGTTCAAAATAATAGCAGTGTGGAGCTCTATTAGTGAGGTCATTCATTCTTTGAAAAACAGGTGGCAATTTTTGCCCTTATTTAAGGAAGGAAGGCAGCAAATGTTGTACACGCTGGTTACAGTGCATTTCTCTCTGAAATTCTGAGGAAAATGGGTCGTTCCAGACATTGTTCAGAAGAACAGCGTATCTTGATTAAAAAGTTGAATGGAGAGGGGAAAACCATATCAAGAAGTGTAAAAAATGATAGGCTGCTCAGCTAAAATGATCGCAAATGCTTTAAAATGGGAACTAAAACCTCAAAGACGTGGAAGAAAGCGAAAAACTACCATTCAAATGGATAGAAAAATAGCCAAAATGGCAAGGACTCAGCCAACAATCAGCTCCAGGAAGATCAAAGAAGGTCTAAAGTTACCTGTGAGTACTGTCACAATTAGAAGACGCCTATGTGAAGCCAAGCTATCTGCAAGAAGCCCCCGCAAAATTCCACTGTTGAAAAAAAGACGTGTGCTGAAGAGGTTACAATTTGCCAAAGAGCACATTGACTGGCCTATAGAGAAATGGCACAACATTTTGTGGACTGATGAAAGTAAGATTGTTCTTTTTGGGTCTAGTGGCCAGAGACAGTTTGTCAGACGACCCCCAAACGCTGAATTCAAGCCACAGTACACTGTGAAGACAGTGAAGCATGGTTGCGCAAGCATCATGATATGGGGATATTTCTCATACTATGGTGTTGGGCCTATTTATCGCATACCAGGGACCATGGATCAGTTTGAATACATCAGAATACTTGAAGAGGACATGCTGCATTATGCTGAATAGGAAATGCCCTTGAATTAGGTGTACCAATTAGACAACGACCCCAAAACACACCAGTAAACGTGTAACATCTTGGTTCCAGACCAACAAGATTGACGTTATGGAGTGGCCAGCCCAATCTTTGGATCTTAATCCAATAGAAAAATGCAGTTTCTGAGACAAAACCAAGAAATAGAGAAGAACTGTGGAATGTAGTCCAATCATCCTGGGCTTGAATACCTGTTCACAGGTGCCAGAGGTTGGTTGACTCCATGCAACACAGATGTACAGCAGTTCTCAGAAACAGTGCTTATACAACTAAATATTAAGTGATTCAAAGGAAAGCAAAATCTTCAAACATTTTTCAGTTTATATAGTGAATGTTTGAGTTTGTAAAGAAGACCACAAAGACTGCTATTTTTTTGAACAGTCTAATATTCACTTTTCTTCAATTTTTTTAGAGGAACACAAATTTGATATATATTTCTTCATGTTTTGATTTGGAATAGAATGTGTAGTGTTCCCAATGCGTTTGTGTGTATGGAAATAAAAGCTATTAGAAGGAGTTTGAGCTTTATTCACTTTTGTCAACACACTGCTATTATTTTGAACACACACACTAACACTATATTGCCAGAAGTATTGGGACGCCTGCCTTTACACGCACATGAACTTTAATGGCATCCCAGTCTTAGTCTGTAGGGTTCAATATTGAGTTGGCCCACCCTTTGCAGCTACAACAGCTTCAACTCTTCTGGAAAGGCTGTCCAAATGGTTTAGGAGTGTGTCTGTGGGAATGTTTGACCATTCTTCCAGAAGCCTGGCTTACAGTTTCCTCCCTAATTCATTCCAAAGGTGTTCTATTGGGTTGAGTTCAGTACTCTGTACTGGCCAGTTAATTTCCTCAACCCCAAACTCCCTCATCCATGTCTTTATGGACCTTGCTTTGTGCACTGATGCGCAGTCATGTTGGAACAGGAAGGGACCATCCCCAAACTGTTCCCACAAAGTTGGGAGCATGAAATTGTCCAAATTGTCTGGGGTATGCTGATGCCTTAAGAGTTCCCTTCACTGGAACTAGGGGCCAAGCCCAACCCCTGAAAAAAAACGACCCCACACCATAATCCCCCCTCCATCAAACTTTACACTTGGCACAATGCAGTCAGGCAAGTACCGTTCTGCTGACAACCACCGAACTCAGACATGTCCATCAGATTGCCAGACAGAGAACCATGATTCGTCACTCCAGAGAACACGTCTCCACTGCTCTAGAGTCTAGTGATGGCATGCTTTACACCACTGCATCCGACAATTGCACTTGGTGATGTAAGGCTTGGATGCAGTTGCTCAGGCCATGGCAATCTCTCATGGCAAACTCTGTATGCACTGTTGTTGTGCTAATCTGAAGACCACATGAAATTTGGAGGTCTTTAGCTTTTGACTCTGCTGACAGTTGGCGACTTCTGCTCACTGCGCTTCAGTATGCACTGACACAGCTCTGTCATTTTACATGACCTACCACTTTGTGGCTGAGTTGCTGCTGTTCCCAGTTGCTTCCACTTTGTTATAATACCATTAACAGTTGACCATGGAATATTTAGTGGCAAGGAAATTTCACAGATGGACTTATTGCACAGGTGGAAACCTATCACCGTACCACGCTTGAATTCACTGAGCTCCTGAGAGCGACCCATTCTTTCACAAATGTTTTTAGAAGCAGTCTGCATGCCTAGGTGCTTGCTTTTATACACCTGTGGCCATGGAGGTAATTGGAACACCTGAATCCAGTGATTTGGAGGGGTGTCCCAATACTTTGGCAGTATAGTGTGTGTGTGGTGTGTGTACAAATGCGCCCCCCCCCTCGATTCCAAGTTTGGGCACTGTGGAAAATCTGCATAAAAACAGACTAGGTGAACCTCTGACCATCTTTAGTTCTGAGATACTCAAGCTCTCTAAGATGGTCTTTTTATACCTAGTCATGTGACTGACCTGTTGCCAAGTAACCTAATTAGTTGCAAATTGTTCTTCAAGCTTTTCCTTGTTATACCACTTATTTTGCAAGCTTTTTGTTGCCCTGTCCCAATGTTTTTGAAATGTTGCTGCCATCAGTTTTGAAATCACCTTATTTTGTCTTCAGTTTCAACATTTGATATATTTTCTATTGTGAATAAACTATGGGTTTATGAGATTTGTAAAACATTGCATTCTGTTTTTAAGTAGCTTTTCCACAGCTTCTCACTTTTTTTTAGAAGTGTGTGTGTTATTTATATATTGCTCAAAAAAATTAAAGGAACACTGTGACAACACATCAGATCTCAAAGTCTTGCAGAGGACTGAATTCAAAGACACGCCGAAAACCAAAGTGAAAAAATGATGCAGCAGGCCAGTTCATTTTGCTGAAATTTAATTGCAGCAACTCAAAATGGTATTCAGTATTTTGTGTGGCCCCTATGTACTTGTATGAATGCCTGACAATGTCGGGACATGCTCCTAATGAGACGGTGAATGGTGTCCTTGGGTATTTCCTCCCAGATCTGGACCAGGGCATCACTGAGCTCCTGGACAGTCTGAGGTGCAACCTGGTGTCATCAGTGCCCATCCCAATAGGAAGCAAGACAGTAGAAATAATTGTGCACTTGTCTGTTAATCATGTAGGGTGGGGTCTCCAAAGATTCAGTGCTAGGGCAACATTTATCATCACTCCCTCACATGTGCACATATGTGAGTTATATCATCGAGGCACAAAGCCTTGCTGTAAATGTAAGCAGAGCTGCGCATGCACAGGTCAGTGTTCACAAACATTTGCAGGCAGGAAGGGAGAAGGTTTGACAGAAAAGACCAGTAGGGTCTTTTCGGTCTTAAAAATCCTACCTGCGAATAGTTGTCTGCATTTTTTTAGGTTTAGTTTCACTTTTAAGGACATAATTTTGCTTATTGCAAAGTTTCTTGTTAATTGGCTTGATTAACTTTCTAGTTTACACTAAGTTTGCTCTTTTAAGGTTGTTTCAATGGTAAAAAGGCTGACTTCTCAAAAGAGTCAAGATGAAGAAGATGATGATGACAAGAAGGGGTCCATTGTGTTCAATGCAACATCTGAATTCTGCAGAACTCTTGGGGAGATTCCAACTTATGGTCTGGCAGGGAACAGAGAAGATCAAGAGGATTTAATGGTATGAGGCAATTTCCCGAGGCTCCAGTTACCTGCTTTCATTAAGCTACCTTATACTTGTAAGAGTCTAACCTGTCTGTACAACTTTTCCTAGGACTTTGAGAAAGAAGATGAGGAATCTGAGAAAGATGGAGACTCTGATGGAGAAGAAAATGTTGGCTGGAGCATGGTGAATCTTGATGAGGAAAAGAACCAGCAAGAGGTGTGTTAAGAACCGATAGCTCTATCTCCATCTTAGTTCTGTTTTTTTTTCCTGTATTAGCAGCATTGTATAGTTTAGTAGGCATGTGTAAAACAGTTGGCCAAAGCGCTAGTTAGTTGCAGAATTGAAGTACGAATGCTGTCATGTTTAATTTAAAAAAAAAAAAAAGTTTATTGCAGGAGAAATACACAAGTGCATAGAAAACCGAAGACCATTCCCCTGAGACTATAACCCCTCTCACCTTACCCCTGCTTAGTCTCACCTAGTGTCCTTAGGAGAACAGATCACTTTTTCTCTTCTTTCATATTTTTGTTTGACTTGGAAGATATTTTTCTTTTATCAACAACTATTGGTAGATTCTGGACAGATGTTGGAAATCCTTGTAGTCTCTAAAGTTAGCCAAGGCGTGCAGATTTTCCCAGGTCATTATACTATACATTTTGTTTTCTCTGCAAGGTTATCCTGCAGTGACAACCCATCTGTGTTTCAGGTTACTTTGGACTCCACTACTCAGGTCAGGCCAGTTTATTTGGCTATTTTGCTGAGTTATCAAGAGCAGAGCTGTGGCAGTTTTGTCTGTTCCCATCTCTGAAGACTTACTTGTTACATAGTAGGATAAAAAAAAAGTACATCTTGTTCAACCAATAGAAAAAAAAAATAGCACCATATACACAATTCTATACAAACAGTATCTTGCTGTGGCAGGGATTTTTTTTCCTGTTAATGTCGTGTGCAGTGCTTGCTTTACAAGCAGCTTGTTTAGCTGGACATTGATAAGGGTGACAAGATTTGATCAGCTATGATAACCTTCCTTTTTTCTATCTTGAGCTATGTTTTTATCTGTCAGCAAGGCACCATGGGGTTATTTACTAAATAGTGCAAAATCTGATACAATTCTGCGTAGAAACCAATCTTCCAGGTTTTATTGCCAAGCTTAATTTAACAAGCTGAAGTTAGAAGCTGATTGGCTATCATGCACAGCTGTACCAGTTTTAGTTAATCGACCCCTCTGTATTCCCATACCTTACAGTGCAAAATTCTTGCTGATATCTGGTGACTGGCTACTACTAGGTTCTCAGTCCAGGACTTTATGATTGCAGAAAGTAATCACTAGTTTTTTACGCACCAACCTCTCTTCCATCCTGCATTTCTGCTCACAGCACCTCTGCCAGAGACAAGAGAATGGTGCTTGAGGGGTGCCAGACATGTTTGTTTTTTTTTTTTTTAAAGAAGCTGCAGTCTAAAAATTCAGCGGTGGAGAACTGGCAGGCAGAAACGGCTCTCTTTTTCCTACTGCAGCAGTCTTTCTTCCCTGCTGACTGCCTGGACTAAGGAACACAGCAAGGGGCACACTTCTGCATAGAAGGTGATCACCCAGCTATTTTTTATCAGCTGGTCTGTGAGCATTCTTGGGAAAGTAAAGTAGCTTTCTTGATTTAGGGTGCAACTGATTTTATACAGCATGCCTTGCAGTAAACAGGAGGGCAGCCACTCTACAGCTGCAAACAACTCACCACCTGAGGGCCCTATTTGCACTTTATGAAAGGTTAAAGTTTATTTCCACTTTTGGAGTCATATTTGACCGTTTGTTCAAAGAGATGTCTTGTATTTCTGATTTTTTCTGGAGGATATGCTTGTGATTCTCATAGCTCCATAGTGACCCTGGAAAGTGTGGTACACAGACCATGTTCGCGCGTTAGCCAATGCTCCAATGCCTCTTCCAGACTGGCCAGATCTGTAAACAAGACATGCCAGAAAATGCTTGGTCTTCAACTGGATATACAGTGTGAAGAAAATAAGTATTTGTTCCTCTGCTGATTTTGAATGTTTGCCCACTCACGAAGAAATGCATGTCTAACAAATTATGCACTGATTTGCATGTTCATGAGGGAAATAAGTATTTGATCCCCTTCACAAAACATGACTTAGTACTTGGTGGCAAATCCCTTGTAGGCAATCACAGAGGTCAGACGTTTCCTGTAGTTGGCCACCAGGTTTGCACACATCTCGAGGGATTTTGGCCCACTCCTCTTGGCAGATCCTCTCCGGGTCATTATGGTTTGGTGGTTGACGTTTGGCAACGCAATCAGGGCATTGAAAATGGGTCGTGGATGGGTGTTACACATGACAATGACCCAAAACACACAGCCAAGGCAACAAAGGAGTGGCTCAAGAAGAAGCACATTAAGGTCCTGAAGTGGCCTAGCCAGTCTCCAGACTGTCTCCATTCTGTCTCTCAGTGTTACAATACACCTACCATTCGATTTTTAGACTGATCATTTGTGAGTGGGCAAACATTCAAAATGAGCAAGGGATCAAATACTTCACTGTACATGTTTCATAAACGAGGTACAATAAGTCTCGGTTCACAATACTGCAACCTGAAATTCGTGCAACTTTGCCAGGTGATTTTCTGGCAACTTGAATACTACTTTGATGCGACTTTCAGGGAATGCCTGGGTAATCTTTCTGTAATGTCTGACCCAAATCACATCAATTTAGATGAGCATCCAACTTGCAGGCGATTTCCTTTTAAAGTCTATGGGCACAAGGCGAATAGAAATCGCCTTGAAGTAGTACAGGAACCTTTTTCTAAAGTCGGAGCAACTTCAGTAGGCTAATTAAGACAGCTCTCATTGACTAACATGGGATTTCACATGTCATGCGACTTGGGATCTTACAAGTTGGATCTCAAATCACAGCAGTGTGAACCAAGTGCACCCATAAGCGATAATAAAAATATTGGTTATAGTAGCAAGGAAAGTCTGTGATAAATATAAAATAATTAGTTGTCCTTTTAAACACACTGCTTCTTTAAGTAATCCAGCTCATTACTCCGTGTTCTCTAAATAGTGAAATGGAGGCTCACCAGAATGGCGTGCCTCCTTTTATAAATAAAGTGAGTCAAATAAATCTCTCCCAGCTGTGTATGGTTACATGGATATCCTGATTTCCCCCTTCTACCAGAACCTATGAGTTTGGACAATTATTTTTTATTTATTATGGACTTTACTATGACTAATATTTGTATTAATTTCAGTCATTAGTGCTCTCTTATTGTATCATGTTTATAAAACATGAATATTTTCAGTTGATTTATATAGATAGTATATGTTTATTTGAATATAGCACTGGTATACATTTAGGTTTGATTGATAAGCACTTGGGGGTGTTCATTTTTACCAGCAGCTGTGCAGTGGTTTTGCACAGAGCAGCACCAGTCTTCCTTTTCTTGGCCCCTCCCTCCTGCAGAGTGCCCCCAGAGCAAGCAGCTTGTTTTGGGGTTACGTAAGCAGTCTCACTGCCAAGCTGCTGCTCTGTATGTCCATTCTCACACACAGCCGTGGCTTGGACCCCCCCTCTCTCTCTTTATTGGCTCACTGGCTGTGGCCTGCTGCTATTTTAGCCAACAAGGAGGGACAGTCCCCGGAGAGACGAGGCTCTCATGCACATCCCTGGATCGCATGTTTTATGATTCAACCACAGTATACCAGAACAGATCAGTGCCACTCCATGATCACAGTATCGGTCTCCTGAGTTTACAATCTGTATTCAGCTGCTGGCAGACAAAGCAAATCTCACTCCAAGATACAGTATAGCATACAAATGTCGCCGCACATTTTATTCAACTGCTGTGTAATTGAAAGACGAGCTTCAGCTCAAATCCCCCACCCATCGCTCCCACCCCTCTGACATGTTTCGCCCACATTGGGCTTAATTGTAGAGGGCCTATAATAAGATTTTGCAGCCTTTTGTTTTGGCATAGTTTATGCATCCCACTTCTTAAACTTTTGGATTTTGTGGGAATCCACCCAAATTCTTTATTGGTATACTTACCTGTACTGCAGCCGCACGGGTCCAGTCTCCAGCGGCGCCCTTTGTGTGCAGGAGAAAGCTGACAATGGCTCGGAAATGCCTGGGAAGTGACTTCACCCATAGACTTACTATGGCACTTCCATTGTCGGATACCTCTCCTACACACTGAAGCTGCCGCTAACAGCTGAGACTGGGACCATACTGGAACAGCTGCAGAGTAGATAAGTATAGCGTTTTTTTTTTTTTTTTTTTTTTTTTTCTTTTCTTTACAGGGCTAGATAAATTAGGCTTAGCATATGGCTGAGAGTATGTTTAGAGTTAGTTAGGTTTTACCTTTACTTCCACTTTGATTTTTGTATTTATTTTGATATACATACTTTGAAGCTGAAATCTTTATTTTCCAACCTAATGCTTAGAGAGTCTAAGATGTTGGGTTGTTTTAAAGGTAAACACTAACCCCCAGTGGAGTGATTTTGACAAATGGGTATTGCAACAACAGTACTGATGGATTTATGAACTGAAAGCAACATACCTTCCGGGTTTGAATGACAGTTTAATCTTTAGCTCTTTTCTATAATGAACTGCCATAAATAATATACATTGAGTATTTATACATTTGGTTAATTTTTGAGTGAGCAGTGTTCTACAGCCTTAGTCTTTGGTATGCATTTTGACCCCTCCACATGGGCTCAAATGGGGTGCATTTTATATATTTGATTGTAGGCTTTTAGCCATTTTATTTATTAGTTGCCATGAGCCTGTTTGGAGGGATTCACTGCAATCATTGTTTTTGCATTAAAACCTAAATGTATTCCAGTGCTATATTAATATAAAACTAGAAAAGCTACAATTTCTGGGGAAATTGTGTGAAGTGTTCTTGCCTCCACCAGTAGTCTACAACTGGAGTGGGCGGAGTAACTGGGTGGAGTGGCTTGAGTACCTGTTGTGTGGTTGGAGTGGCTGGAGTAACTGTGAAAAGGTTGGACTGGGCAGAGTAACTTTATGGAGTGGGCAGAGTAACTGTGTGGAGTGTTTGGAGTGAGTAAAGATAGTAAACATTACACTAACCAATCGATTGATCAAATTTAAAAAGTGCACATGGCAAGCTTGATAGAGTGAGACATGCATTTCAACTTTTAATTATTTATATAGCACATTTAATTGCAATGTTGTTGCCCAAAGTG